CTGGCACTGACACTCGAGCCAGGGTCAGGCAGACCAAAATAACCACAGCAGTGCCACACAGACAAGGGACAGCAGCTGAAGTCCCAGCTTGTCTTGCTCATTCAAGCTGTCTAGGCCATGAAAAGGAAGGGCATGGTGGAGTACTCAAGTAATCAAGGTTAACAGGCATTCATTTCCCTACTAGTTTCTTTTAACTAGTGAAACCCAGCAGTTGGGAGATCACAAGAGCCATGAAAAGGCCCGTGCTGCCTTGTTTACCTGCCCTACCCACCTCCTGCTCACTGAAGCACACACAGGAGTTCTGCATCCCACAGCAAAAGCAGTGATTTTTATTTCTTGTTTGCTTTGAGATCAAAGCCAAGTACCAATTCCTGATGCTGTCCCACAAGTGAGAGCTCCAGGTCTCTCACTTCTGCAGTTTGTGCTCCTCCAACCCCTCCTCTGCCTGCCAGGGTTTGCTGGAGGGGGCTGTACACAGCCAGGAAAATTAAATTCAAGAATCTGAGTGCCCTAAATGAGAAAGCACATGCCATGGGGGCAGCACTCCCTGCCTGCCCAAGTGCAAGACCATTCTCCATAACTCTCAGGATGCTGGGGAATGGCACCAGAGCCCTTTACAAACAAACCTACCCAGGACAAGAACACAAATCTCCACATGGGAATTACTGTCAGCTCCCCATGTTAACCTCACCACGGGGAAGCTGCTCATTTAAGGTGTCAGAAGTTAGAGAATCTGATATTTTTGCCCTGTGTTCAGCCAGTGGCAAAAACTACTCTGAAAGCTGAGGATATTTAGAAACCCAATCCTGAAGACTCTGGTTACGCAAACGACTGCTGCTGCTCCCAGCTATGCAAGGAGTTGCTTCACTGGGGATTTGTTGGCTCAGAACCAAAATACTCAAGACAAAAGGCCCAGTGAAGTATTTATCTCGTTAAATAGCTGACAGCGTTACACGAATTCCTTGGCAAAGGAAGCCCTGAAGTTACCCAGTGGTTCTGCTTCACCTCACACTGCACGGGCAGCCGGCCCAGGGCTGCAGAGTCAGCTCCAGGACATGGACTCAGGAGCAAGCAGGACCAGCAGAAAGTGTGGGTGCCACCAGAGCCACACACAGACCACACCAGCCCAGGCTAGCACAGCATGGAACGTCAACTCAATATTCCAATTCATCAAGATGATCAATCAGAACAAACTTCCTGAGCCTGGTCAGGAAGGTGGAGGACCCCCACCCCTTCCAGGAGGGTCCAGGCTGCAGAGGAAGGAGGAACAGACCCAGATGTTACACAGGAGAACCAGGAAACACTCAAGCTACAGAGCTCAGTCCCATCAGTCCCAAATCCAGCCAGGCTCATGCTTTACTGCTGGCCTCACTCCAAGATTGCCTGAGTTTCACACTCTATCTTTCCACAGAGAATTCTCTGCCCTCCTGCCTTCTCCCTCCCCAAAGAATGAGCCCTCAGTGCCCTGATCAGCAAGGACACAGCCTGGAGCTCAGGAACTGCTCTGAACTGGGCCACTCTCCACTTCAGCAGGCAGGAGCTGCACTACAGCCCTGAAGTGCAGCTTCGCAGACCCAAATCAGCTCAGACAGCACTTTCAGCAGCACTCCCATGGCTGTGACTAACTGATAGTGCAACAACTTCTCTGTGCAGCCCCACATCCAAGACTCACAAAGATCTGGACATGCTCACCTTAAATTAGAGGTAAATAAGCTGAAGCATTCATTCAGCCACAGACCTGAACTAGTACCATCTTCTCATGCTGTTGATGCACACATCTGTTTCCTGACATTTGCACATCCATGGCCTCTGGAGCAGCCCCAGCAGCCAGCTGTTTTCCAAAACAACTCTATCCCCAGAGATTTCAAGGCCACCACCCTGCTGTGACAATCCCTCCAGCACAGACTTCACAGATGAAGTTTTACATCACCTCCACCTCCCATTAGCTGCAACTAGCTCCCTGTCCCACAGTGGCTCCCTCTTGGAGCCCTCACCTATTTCCAGTTATCCTCAGCACAGCAAGGATGGAGGATCAACCCTTGGATGCAGCCTGGATTGATTCAAATGGAACAAAAGCATCAAGGTTTTAATTCTTCAGCAAAGCTTGTTTAACTCCTGTTCAGATGCCCTCAACAGACACAGCTTCACTCTGACCAGACACTCAGAACACATGCCTTGGATAGCACCCACTGCTCAGCCAGCAAGAAGGCAACATCAGCAATGCAAAGCAGCAAACTGCCACCTGCACTGCAAAGAATCTGTGACCTTCAGAATATCTTTCCCAGACTGCACAAAGATCTCCTGCCTCGAGCAGCTCCTTATTTGGAGTGCTACCAAACCAAAGCAAACATGAAAAACAGTGTTTTCTTATCTGTTTATGCAGAGCTGCTCCAGCAGCTCATTCCTGTGCTCCAGGGGAGGACAGCACTCCCCCCAGAGCTCAGATGAATTTTATTCCTCCCCAGTACTGTCACATCCAGGAAGGTTTCCTGTTTCTGGCCAGTGTCTAAGTGTTTTCAGTGTTATTCTGACAACTTCTCAGGACTTGCATAAGAGGCTGCAAACTTCATACCCCAAGGGAAGAAAACAGCTGACTCCAACATTTCCACATTCTATCCTCTTTTAAGTCTGCTGACAGGAATACTCTGGGCTACACCCACTTCATTAGAAGCGTTCCCATTTCATTTCCTGTGTCTGAAAGCACCCGGCATTCCTTCCCCCTCCCTCTTCAGGGAGATGCCACGACCACCATCCAGAACTGTGCAGCAGTGAAGGAGTTTTGGATGCAGAGCTGATGACTGGCAGGGCCTGGATCCCTGCTGAGATGCAGAAGGGCTTTGCTGGGCTGGAGATAATCCCACATCTCAGCACACCAATGTGGCCAAGCACACACACCACCACACAGCTCCTTTACACACTGCCCAACTGTCCAGTTGGCTGGGAAATCCAAAAATTGGTGAAATCTCAAACTGGGAAACCAGAACCACTACACCAACTCATCACTGGAAAAGCAAAGTGTACTCCACTAATGCCAAACTACACCAATGTTTTATTTTACTATATTTATACCCACATGCCAAGCCAGCCTTTCCCTCCTGCTCTCCAGTAACTCAAACCCTCTCCAGGAGTCCATCTCAGCTTGCCTGGGTTGTCCCACCACCTGAAGAGGCACCAGCACCCACTTGCAGAGCCCACAGTGACCCCTCACTGCCTGCAATCCAATGTCAGCTAAACCAGCCACAGCACCCCAGCAGAGAAGGTCACCCCAGGAGCAGATTTTTGGTCTGAAGGTATTGACTGCTCCAGCAAACTGCTGTGACTCGTGAGGGATCTGAGGTGATTTCAACACTGAGACCCAGCTGTGACCCCAAACATTCCTGTCCTTGACCCCCCAGATCCAGCCAGGCTCGTGCTTTACCTGCTTGCCTCACTCCAAGAATGCACCAACATTGTCCTGCAGCTGCCTACAGCCACTATCCTGCATTCTTAACCCCTTTCAGACATAGTTCTTGCACCTGAGTATCCAGGTGAGCTGAAAAGAAATGTAAAAGGCTTTCAGAGTCCAGGCAGCAGTGGGTATTTGCAGGAAGCTCCCCCAGACTGAGTGGCATGCCAGGACAAAGGACTGAGCTGGCTTTTTTGGCCCCAGCCAAGGCTCAGAGGTGGCTCAGGAGCCCCAGCAGAGCACAGGCCCCGTGTGAGGCTGTAAGCAGGGCAGCCCAAGTGAGCTGACCCTCCACACAAAAAGCTAAGAATAGCAGATGCAAGTTGTTCCACACCAGACTTAAAATAGTCCCTCGACGTGTTCTCCTCTCCAGCACTGAAAACAGCCAAGGTCAGAGCTCCAACAGCACAAGTGAGGGCAGCAGGGCCGGGTCAGAGCTGGGCTGGGCTCCCTGCAGGTCCCAGCAGCATCACCAGAACAGGGTCTGAGCACTTTCCCCGGGATTCAGCAGGGCAAACCTGTTGCCCACACTCACAGCTGCACTCCCAGTGCAAGCCCCCCAGCTCACACAGCAGGGTCTGTCCTGCTGTGGCAGACAGAAGCACAGCCTGGCTCCAGACCCCCCCACAGCAGGGCACAAAGTGTCCCTGCAGCCCCAGGGCCCTCCAGCCCCGAGGGTTTCCCTTCACGGGGAGCACGGGGCTGTGCTTGGCAGCAGCAGGGACTGCCCTGCAGCCCGTTTGCAGCAATCCAAGCCACCCCCAGCAGCTCCCGGGAGCCCAGCGGGGCCTCCCCGCTCCCGGAGCTTCCACTCCCCCCTCAGAGGCTGAGCGGCTTTTACAAACCTCGATCCCACCATGAAAACCCCGCTGTCCTGGCACCGCACCTTCCCCAGCCCTGAACCCCGCTCAGCCGCGGCTGTGACAGAACCGGGCCACAGCTCCGGGACAACCCCCGGTACCGGCTGCTCCTTCCCGGGAGGAGCCCGACCCGAGCGCCCCCAGCAGCCGAGCCGGGCACCGCGCCCGCCCCGGGCTCGCCTCCCGCTCCCGCAGGCCGGAGCCGCCCCGCCTCGCAGCGCCCCGCCAGCCGGCACA